AAAAAAAAAAAAAAAAAGAAAGAAAAGCCAAAAGGGTAGAAAATGCTAAACTCAACCTACCACTCAGTGCACCAGCGCGTCCTTCCAGGGTAACCTGCCAAGTAAATGAATCTCCTCGGCTCTTTTCTGTTTCTAGATCTTTAGGAGATGCTGGAAAGACACACTTCCACAACAGCAGAACTCGAGCAAGGTGATGACTGACAACTGCAGAACCTGCAATTTATTCAACTTGTCACTTATAGAAGAACCCAAAGAAGCTGCTATTTAAAACTATTAATAAGCAGAAACTTCCCTTTTAAAATAAAATAAATACATTTTAATTGATTGTTGTAATACTTTGTCTTTTTTCTTATCTTTTGATTTCACATAAATTTACTACTGTATAAATTACTATCAGAAGGTGCTGGAGTACAGACAGGAAAAACAAGGAACAACTGGTAAAGTCTGGGCTCAGGTGTCAGCTCTTTCACTATTGTGTGTTCCCTTTGAGATTCACTTCATTATATGTATAAAATGAAGCTAATTTCATCTACACTGCTTGTCTACAAGGGTTTGTCAGATACAAATGATAGAATACACTTTGAAGTACATAGAATAACTAGAAAAACTATAATGTGTCACATAATTGGAAGGTACAATTGCCATGTGACAAATTACACTGGTATCCCTGATCTTCAGAATAATATTAACTTCTTCAATTTTGGGTGCTAGAGATTAGACCCAGGGCTTTAGTTACATGCACACTCTGAGCTACACTCCTATACTCCAATGTTAACTTCTGATAACAACTTGTTCCAGACCCCAAAACAAAAGAAAAAAACAAAAAACCCAGATGTAAAGTATCTGAATAGAATTACCTCTTAAAAAATTTCACAGCAACAACTTTAATAAACTGAGGTATCATGAATACAAAAATCCAATAAGAAAAGGCAATGAATAATAATATTATTAATAAAAAAGAAAAAAGTGGCTTAAGYGGTAACACGCTCACCTGGCATGCATGGGGCGCTGGGTTCGATCCTCAGCACCACATAAAAATAAAAATAAACATGTTGTGTCCTCCAAAAACTGAAAAATAAATATTTAAAAAATGTTCTCTCTCTCTCCTCTCCCTTTCTTTCTTAAAAAAAAATTAAAAGAAAAAAGAAAAACAGGCAGCATAAAACATGAACCCACAGCTTTTTCCTCCAAGTAGTATTCTTTAGTAGAAAAAAGACAAAGTATTGCAGTAGTCAATCAAAATGTATTTATTTTATTTAAATTCTGGGGCTATCTTCAAATTCTCCTACAAACAAGCCCTCCTTTCTTCTTAGCTCCACATTCCGCTACCTGTAAATCTTTCTTCTTCAGTAGAACAAAATACTTAAGAACTGCAGTGGAGTTTGGAGGGAGACTGACTAGGTTAATAGCCTATTTCTATAAACTTATTAGTTGTGCAAATTCGAATGAGTAACTTAACTTTTGGGGGACCTGTTTCCTCATCTTGAAATGGGGATAATAACARTATCTACCATACAGGAGAGTTTCAAGGCTTATCTGCATTTACATGGGATAGTGCTTTGTTCATGTTTATATAATGTTTGACATGCAATTATCATTAAAAATTTTGCCTTATTATTATTTGGTACCAGGAATTGAACTCAATGAGCTTAACCACTCAGCTACATCCCCACACCTTTTCTATTTTTAGTTTGAGACAGGGTGTTGTTAAGTTAATTAGGGTCTTGCTAAGTTGCTGAGTCGGGCATTGAACTTGCAATCCTCCAGCCTAAGACTCTGGAGTCACTGGGATAACAGGTGTGCATCACTATTCYTGGCTTTAAAAATATGTCTTATTTTTAAAGGGAAAGGTGAGCCGGATAAAATGAAAAAGCAGTTGCAAGTCAATTTTTTAAAAATGAACGCAATTTAGAAGATTAAAAAAGAAATTTTCTGTTATTCTTCTGACTTGATTTTTAGGAAGAGGCACTATGTTAATCCCCATAGTAAAACATACATTACTCTTTGCTATTTTTTTTTCCTTTTTTTGTGGTGCTTGGGACTGAACCCAGGGACGTGCATACACCATAGTGTAGATCTTTACCACTGAGCTATATCCCCAGCCTGCTATATTTTTTGTTTTTGTGTTTTTTTGAGGTAGTAGTTTAAAAAACCAAAACAACAACAACAAAAAACAGAATTAGAGTAAAAAAAGGCAATGAAGAATAACTGACTGCAAGAGATTTGTATGAATGCATGAGAGCATATGCATGCAGGTTCACACTGATATATACAACAGATTACAGAAACAGAAAATTCTGAAAGCAAAATTTAATCACATACCAAAAAACAAAAAAACAAAATAAAAACAAAAAAGCATGCAGTCATTGAAAGTATCCATAGGTGAGAAAAGTTTCACATATATTTGCCAYTATACCTTCCTTAAGATATCTCACTAACTTAATAGTAGACAGCACAGCATCTTTTTCCCAGAAAGGTGCTAAGATATTGTCATTTCAGACACATATGAATTAAGTTAGAAAAAAGAGTTCATAGTAATTGCAAAGCTAAAACACCAAGCATTTTTCACACCAAGAATAAAACTGTATCTATGAAAATATGCATACACACTTGATGAGTTACCCACAGATAAACAAAATACGGAGATATCTGTGGGTGAACTGAAGTTGTTTTATATGGCATCAGGTAAACTGAGAAGTTTAGCAAGAAAGGTTAAAAAATGGTTGTAGTTCACATTACAGGAGTAGATTTCATGTAATTTACTTAAGTTGATGTTAATTCACAGTAGTGACTCTATTAAAATAATGAAGAAAATTATATGTTGTGAAAGTAATGATGAAAATACAAGAACTAGTAAAACTTTAAGGGAAAAATTAATAAAACATTCAGACTATTAGCTAAAATTCATTYCCCTCAAAAAAAGAATCAAGCCTCCTTGAAGAAATGGCCAATGGCAAGCCTGGGACAGGAAATATACACTAAACCTTGGATGTCTTATCATGTCAAAACCAAGTATTATTAAAGAATTCTAGATTCATGTAAAAAGGACATGTAATTCAACTTGAAGGGGTTCCYACTAAACAAAAGATGAGAATCAAAAAGAATCATGACTACATTGGATTGACACATACAACTATAAGTAATTGRAAATTCGTCAAATATTTTAATCTCTCTGTATAGTAATTAGAAATATGTAATAAGACGATGTACTAATATCTTTTTTAAAGGAAAAAGGATCTCTTGTAATCTTCCTCCAATGGAACAACACTGGTTTTAAGAGCTTTTATCAARTTTAAGAGCATTTATTGATTACTTCTCCTTTAATTCACCACCAKCAATAAATATGGCAGGCATGAAACACACCAAAAAGATATATGAAACCTTGCTTACATTATACCCATCATACTGTGAAATGATATCTATGCTAGGGGCTAGTAAACATTTTCTGGAAAGKATCACAAAGTAAACATATTAGGCTTTGAGAGTCATATAGTCTTTCAATCACTCAACTCTATCACTATAGCACATAAAGGTCACAGGTGATATAAAAACAAATAAGTGTTGTTGTACTAAAATAAAATTTTATTTGTGGGCACTAAAATTTGACTTTCATATAATTTTCATGTATCACAAAATATTTCAATTTTCCCCCAACCATTAAAAATATGTAAAAGTTATTCTAAGCTCAGACTACTGAAAAAAACAGGTAGTAAAATAAATAAATAAAGTAAGATAAAATAAAACATGGACTGAAACTGGTATAAATCCAATAAATTTCTTTAATTATCTCAAGAATATCTTCATATTATTATTTAAAGTAGTTCTTCATTTATGATTACTTATTTTAATATAAGCTCCCTTTAGATAAAATTACTTCATATTGGGCTGGAGTTGTGGCTCAGTGGTAGAGCACTTGCACAGCATGAGGCCTTGGGTTCTATCCTTAGCACCCACATATAAATAAATAAATAAAATAAAAGATCCATTGACAACTAAAAAATATTTTTAAAAAATTACTTCATATCCAGCTAGGTGCAGTGGCACACACCTGTAATTCCAGAGGCTCGGGAGGCTGAGGCAAGAGAATCTTGAATTCAAAGCCAGCCTCAGCAAAAGCTAGGCACTAAGCAACTCAGAGAGACCCTGTCTCTAAATAAAATACAAAATAGTGCTGGGGATGTGGCCAGTGGTTGAGTGCCCCTGAGTTCAATCCTCGGTACTAAAAGAAAAAAACAAAAAACAAAAAACAACTTCCTATCCAGCCAGGTGTCAAAACCATTTATAGGCCAGATCCAACCAACTATATTTCATATTCTAACTACTAACTCATACAGTAGAGACTTAAAGATAAGTGTGATAAAATTGTTTTATAGGCATAGGATATAAACAGTCATGACAATAAAGCAATTACTTATTTTTTTTCAATACAAGCTCTGTCATGAGCAGCTTTTTCTTTTTTCTTTAATGTAGTGCTAAGGATCAAACCCAGTGCCTCACATTTGCTAGGCAGGCACCCTACCACTGAGCCACAACTCCGCCCCCAATTGCTTATTTATTTATTTATTTAGTTAGTCGTAGATGGACACAATACCTTTATTTTGCTTATTTAGTTTTCTTATGTAGTGCTGGGATTGAATCCATTGCCTCACACATAATTAGCAAGCGTTCTACCACTGAGCCACGATCCCAGATCCCAAATGCTAATTTTTACTAAATATAATTTAAATAAGCCTCACCTACYCCCTTCAATGTTGTGATATTATTGGGTATCACTAATCCTAAAAATATTAATAGTATTGGATTCATGGGCTATGGTAAGTTTTCTTGCTTATCCTTATACAGAGGAAAATTTTTCTTCCTGAAGATAGATGTGAAGGACTTTTGGAAATGTCCAAGCTATTTTAAGCCTAAAAAATAACTAAGTTGGTTTGTTCTCCTTAACATTTATAAACTGATCGGAAAAGAGAGATATGTGAAGCTGGGCATGATGGCACATGCCCGTATTCCCAGTGACCTAGTAGGCTGAAGCAAGAAGATCAAAAGTTCAAGCCATCAGAYACAGTGGTATACAGCAGCTCAGGAGGCTGAGGAAGGAGTTCAAAGCTAGGCTCAGCAAAAGTGAGGCACTAAGCAACTCAGTGAGACCTTGTCTCTAAATAAAATACAAAAATACAGGGCTGGGGATGTGGCTCAGTGTGGCCTCTGATTTCAATTCTTCTTTTTTTTTTTTAATATTTATTTATCGGCGGACACAACATCTTTGTTTGTATGTGGTGCTGAGGATTGAACCCCGGCCGCACGTGTGCCAGGCGAGCGCGCTACCGCTTGAGCCACATCCCCAGCCCCGTGATTTCAATTCTTGATAACCAAAAAACAAAAAAGTTTAAAGCCAGCCTGGGCAACTTAGTGAGATCCTGTCTCAAAATAAAAAAATAAAAAGGTCTGGGGATGTATCTTGGTGGTAATGTGCCCTGGATTCAATTTCCAGTACTGAAAAAACAAATCTGAAAACATTTTTAGTGATAAAGTAAGTAAATATCTTTTTTTAATACAAGGTTGTCCAGGCTGGCCTTGAACTCCTGGGCTCAAGTGATTCTCCTGCCTTAGTGTCCACAGTGTCTGGGCAYTACAGGTATGTAATTAGGGTACCTGATCATAATCGCCTTCTTTAAGTGACCACTATGAGGAAAATATTTATGTGGCTATATAAATTCTAATACTTATTAAAAGCTAGTCTTATCAAATCCTATGTAAGAATSCTTTCACTTAAAAATCACAAAGTGTGTCCTCATTATGTAAACCTTCCATAAGACTGTTACCTAATGTCATCAGAGAAGCAATCAACAACCATCCAGCTTGTGTGCGCTGAGCTGAAAGGCGACTGTTTTGAGTAGCAGAACATAGCAAATCCTCTGCTAATGTCATAATAATCTGTTAAGGTACAGAACAAGATAATTTTTAAAAAATCACTTTATAAATTAGTGAATGAATGACAGCAATTGATTGTAATCTCTTGAAAAATTAACTCTAATATATAACAACTGAAATTGACAAAGAACTTCCATTTAGACATGATAGAACAATGTCTCAAGAAAACTATAAAAAACTGAAGTTATAAAGGTTAAATGTTGGCATATTAAATATACAACATAGTAACTACAATGCTTTGTACAGCATATGTGACAACATTTAAGACAGTTCAATTATAGTTGTACAAAACTTGAATTTACTTTTAGTTTTAAGAAACTATCCTCCTTGATCAGGAATTACCAGAAAAAGTTTCATTATAGGAGTCTCTTTTTTTAAAATTCTACCTACTACTTTGACACCTCAATGGCTGATAAYAGTCTTCCCACAGGCAATATATTATCATGGTTAAAAGTAGTCAAAATAGCATCATATTGAGATAAGTTTCACAAATAGAGTGGAATTTGTTAAAATGTTATGCTAGAAAAGTCAATGAAATAGGCAGTGTTATAAACAACAGAAAAAATAAGATTTTTATGATTTTTGCTTATATATTAGTACAAAGGACAGGAAGCATGAAATATGTCTGAAAAAAATATCTGTTACTCTCTGGAAAAGCAGAAAGTATTACGAGATGGAAATAAACTTTCTGAAGAGGAAGACTAGTGCATTTTAAACAACCGACCAACTTTTACTAATTTAGGGGTACATGCAGCTTATACAGTCAATGGATGGTACTCAAAAAAAGCAAGGACATTGGCATTCAAAAAAAGTAAGGTGAAACAAACCATTCTAGTCAGGACAAGTGGAAAGAAATTTCAGATACAATGAGGGGATGAGAATCTCATCTGAATTAATGCTATCTGAGGATAAATTTAATTAAATACATGCAATGGATGATTCTTTCTTTAGCAAAATATTAGGTATTAATTCAGAAAATAACTAAAGTACTAAGCTTAAATGAATAACATTACCTCCCTAAGTTGTCAGCTACATTTTTTCCAATGGCATTGGCAATAGTCTRTTCTTCCATTTTTCAGAACAATTATAATTATTGATAATATTTAATACTTAAGGAGTGGGACAGCTAATTACTCAAAAAGTTGTCCTACATGGCCCTCACTGAGTAATATACAAGACTTTGATGTTTTTAGGAAAAACCTGAAATGCCATCRTTATATAGAGAGAATGAAATTATTACCTTGCCCTTTCCATGAGGAATTCCCAGAGGACAATGTTTCACTGCTCCCAGCAGAGCTGCCACAGCAAAACTAAAGCCAGTCACAGCTTCAGGTGACGACTTAAGTACAGTAAGGCGTTCAACGCAACGATCTAAGAGAGGCGTTAGGTAGGAAGGTAAGGCCACAGCAATGCAGTGTAAACACCAAGCTGCTGCCAGTCGAACAGAAATGCTAGGATGAAGAATAACCGAAATGACACTGTCGAGAAGGCCTAGAATGACAAAACAAACAAATGATGGCTTARGTACACAGATAAAATTCACCTAGTAATAAATTAGTCAAAAGAGTGAATGATCTKGGCACAGTGGTGCCAACCTTGTAATCTCAGCATTTTAGCAGGCTGAGTCAGGAATATCTCAAGTTTGAGACCAGCCTGGGGAACTTAAAAATAAAAAGGCTGGCTATCGCTCAGTGCTAGAGAGCTTGCCTAGCATGCACAAGGTCTTGGGTTTAATCCTCAGTACCACAAACAAGAAAAAAAAGAATGAATAGCTATTTGGATATAAAATACATTATTCTTATTAAAAGTCAAATAAGAATAAAACACACACACACACACATATTTTAGACATTGATGGACATTTGTTTTATTCATTTATTTATTTATCTTATTCATTACTATGCATGGCCTCACATATGCTAGGCAAACACTCTACTACTGAGCCACAACCCCAGCCCCATAAAGTTTTTTTTTTTTTCAAACCAAAGAATTACTTATGAAAACTGGATTAAATTAAGTAAGTATACAAAAGAAAAAAAATTAATTTCCTAAGTTTACTTTACCTTGAGAACATTACTAAGTTGGTACAAGAAATTAAGCACAGTATCTMCATAATAATATACTTTTTATTCATTATATTGTTCTTATCTGAGAACAAARTGTTAAAAATCAAGGTTTCAAAAAGAGAGAAATGAATTACAGTAGATGGGGTAGAGAGAGATGATGGGTGAGGAGGGGATGGGAGGGGGGATAGGAAGGGGATAGGAAAGGCAGCAGAATACAACAGACACTAGTATGGCAGTATGTATAAACGTGGAAGTATAACCAATGTGATCCTGCAATCTGTACACATGATAAAAATAAGAATTCATACCCCATTTGAATCAAATGTATGAAATATGACTATGTCAAGATCACTGTAATGTTTTGAGCAACCAATCAAAAGAAATCAAGGTTTCACTGGATCCTCAATAGGCTACTAACCCATTAAAAAGACAATGGGGAAAAAGTCTATTCTTGATATGATTCAAGATATACTTTCATGAAAATAAGTAAGTTTCATGTTGACTGGTACTTAAAAGTCTGGGTGCAGTGGTTCACACCTGTAATCCCAACGACRTGGGAGGCTGARGCAGAAGGATCCCAAGTTCAAGGCCAGCCCTGTCTCAAAATAAATAAAAAAGGCTGGGGATGTGGCTCAGTGCTTACCTGCCTTCAGGGTCAAATGTCTGACAATATGTGTGCTATATTTAAATAGCTTAAAAACACAAATAAAATGCAGAGCCTCTCAGCAGGAAATGTGTACCATAAAGGACAAAGCCACAAAAAAATATTTTAAAAAAGTAATTATAAAAAAGGAGCCAGTCACTAAAGACCAAATACTATATGATTCCATTTTATAAAATGTCCTAAATAGTTTAGGTAAATTCAAAGACAGACAGAAAATTAGTGGTTATCAGAGATTGGGGGAAGGATAAATGGGAGTAACTGTGAATGTATTTCTTTCTGGGGCAATGAAAACATTCTGGAATTAAGCAGTGATTAGGGTTGTGAAACTCTAAATATACCAAAACCACACTGAAGTGTATATTTTAAAAGGGTGAAYTTTGTGGTATATTAATTATATCTTAATAAAATTGTTCTAAAAAGTAATTAAATATTTTCCAAGAGAGAAAGAAAATAGTTTGAAAAGACCTTTGAGGAACTGAGTTACATGTACCATATAGATATTTTCACTGCAGATGAGAAATGTGAGATCATGTTTACTTTTTTGTTTTTCCATGTTATCTTAAATATCTCCAGAGGKGGTAGGGAGAAACTTAGAGAACAACTTTTATTTACAAAAGCAAAAAAAGAAACAACACCACCAAACTAAAACCCTCAAGTAATTATATAAACAATCTTGATTATAAATTTTTAATAAGTCTACAGTGGACTCTAGGACAAGGAAGCTATATCAAGGAGATTTCCTTCCATTAGTACAAGTAAAACTAAGGTATTCAGATGAGTTAAAAACAGCAGATGTACCTATACTTGAATCTTGCAGCAAAGGTGCAGCAGTGGTGCCAAGACCGTGTATGAGATTTCCAAGTTCTTGTAAAGCACACACCAGCATATGCTGGCTGGCTGCTACATCTGTGGAACCAAGTCGGGTTTCCAAGTTACCATCACTCAATACAGCATCTGACAGAAACACAAGAATTAACTATGCATCACTATTTTATAAAAATATATTGTAGGGGGTAGGTGTTAGGAGAAGAAAAGTATAACAACAAAAATTAATACAATGCACCCACTTGATCATTATGAAATCTCTGAAGCAGTAATTGAAATGCTTAAATGAGAAACTGCATAAATAAAGAATAACCGAATTAATATAACTAATTCAATTTAAGCAACCTGATTAGAGATCACATTACTCTTTTAGAAAGAAGCACTGAAAGGGATAATACATGGAAAATATTTCAATATTATTGAGACTTAAGCAGAGTGAACACCATAGGACCTAAGAGACTATTGTAAAAAATAATTTTAACTTCTCTAGGAAGTTCAACATGAATTCTAAGGAACAATTATTATCAGCTTTAGGATTTGTATTAATATGGTAATATACCAGTCTTGCTTTTCCAAAGGGACAATTCCTTTATCACTGTTCAAATAGGCTGTGTTAGTATATTCATACCCATAACTTTCTTTAGCTTCCAGATGGTCTGGCAGATATCCTTTGCCGCAGCAATTTGAGCCTTTTCTCCAAGAAGGCCTCCTATCGTAGCTCGAAGAATAAATGAAATACACCGGCGACAGCAGACAGCATCAATCTGAGTTTGGGTAGCTTTAGGGTGTGACTGTGACACAAGGCTTAGGAGGTGAGAAAGAAAGATAGGAAAATTTTTCTCTAGCCAAGTTCCTCCTAATGTTGAAACAAATACCACGTAAGCCTAAAAAAGAAAGGAGTTTTATCTTCAAAATTAATAATCTCAATTCTGAATTTTCTTTTCCATAAATATGTAGAATTTACTAATATTTCTTTATTCTCTACAAACTGTATTCCTTCYTCATTTACAGCTACTTTATATTTAAGAGTACCACTATTTTTGGCTATTTCTTTGCTTAATAGCAAAACTGAAGAACATAGTGTCTTAACTTATTTCAGTCAGACTCTGCAAATTTTCAGAATTGGTATTGCCAGCTAATTTGTAAAATGTGTCTGTGGCTTCTCTAACCAAARGTTTCAAGCTATTTCACATTCTAAATAAGAAAATTCAAACCTATGAATACGTTCTAAGAATTAACTATGCTCCAAAACCATAACTCAAAGGGAATTCAGTTCTAGAAATCTGAGGAAAGTTTACAGTGATGAATCATTACATTTTACTTTCATGAATCATTTGTCTTACTCCAGAGATACAAAGAAAAGCAGTTTCTTTTTTTTTTCTTTTTTAATATTTATTTTTCAGTTTTTGGTGGACACAACATCTTTATTTTATTTTTATGTGGTGCTGAGGATCGAACCCAGCACCTCGTACATGCCAGGCGAGGGCGCTACCGCTTGAGCCACATCCCCAGCCCCAAAAAGCAGTTTCTTTAAGCAACCTGTTCCTTAGAAACAGTTTACAATTGCACTGGGAAGCTCATGTTTTTATAAAGTCTGCAATTTGGTATAAACAATGAGGATATATGTGAATTTTTAAAAATTACAAATTTGTCTTCAACCATACCAGTATTTAGAAAAAAAAAATTAATTCAGGAAAGAATGCAGAAGATCTGTTTTTTTATTCTGATTCCTTTTCTAAGGGTTTAGCTTCTTATTTTTGTTTTTTGGCAGTACTGGGGATTGAACTTAGGGATGTTCTGCCACCAAGCTACATCTGAAGCTCTTTTAATTTTGAGACAGGGTCCTGCTAAATTGCTGAGGCTGGCCTCAAGCTTGCAACTCTCCTGCTTCAGCTTTCTGAGTAGAGGGGAYTAAAGGCATGTGCCATAGGGTTTAGCTTTTAAATTTTGTTTAGAACCAAAAATTGAAGCATTGAAAGTAGACTGCATGATGTAACCTTTATTTAAAATCTTATAAAATTTGTTTTGTGCATGCTAAATAATACGTACCTAAGGGCTTAAAGTGAACTCTAAGAGCACACAAAAACACAATGGAAGACATATTAAACAACAAGATACATAAAAGCACAAGGGCTACTAGGAAAAAAAAAAGTGTTGTTTATGTTTCAAAGGCAATAAAAATCCCCCCTTACTAGGAACTTAAAACCACTATAGGATATTAGAGTCCCTTACATGTAACCTAGTTTTTAAAAACTGTTTTGGCCTTACCACATCTATTTAGAAATATGACAGTACAAGTAGTGAACTCACATAGTATCGCTTCTGCAGAGTCAGATACTAAAGCTTTCACTATAATTATGCCACTGAGGATTACATTTAGATACTAATTTGTGATTCCAACCTGAGTAACTCCAACTCGAACATCCCTACTGACTGAACTGGTTCCTTTCAGCATATCTCCACTGGCTCGAAGAAATCCTGAACTCCCACGTAGAAACCCTGTTCCTAGTAATTCCAGAACTTCTTCCAAAGACACTCTGCGAATGCTTTGACGTAAGGCTGCTATGACAAAGAACAAAACAAAACTGTGATTCATAACTTATAGACTAATTTTAATGCATAATCTTTTTTTTTGATGCTAGGAATTTAACTCAGGGTCTTGCCCATTAAGCACATACTCTGTCCGTGAGCTACAAGCCCAGTAATATTAATTAATACATGATCTTGATTTGCAAAAAGCCAGCATGATAGCAGAAACAAAAATAAACTAAAAATTTAAGCAAAATGCAAAATTAACAGGACACTCTATACACTAACAACAACAACAACAAGTCACACACGGTTTCAAAGGTCAAATGAGAATGAGCCCTAAAATATCACATCAAGAACTTCTTACAGTTGGTGTCACTTTAAGATCCTGCTCCATTGCTCCCTTTTTTTAAAGAATTAAAAGGCTAATATAGTAGTCTTCTAAAATATAGGAAAATATCAATAAAACCAGTTTACTTCCCTACAAGTGAAAATGCTATATAACACTTTAAATTTTCTTTTGAAATACTAAAAATGCCAAAACATAATTTAAATGCTCTATAACTTTAAAGGAAATTTAAATAAAGTAATCAACACTTTTCAGCTTTAAAAATTGTCAACTCACAATACAATCTTTTGTTATTCCTTCAGTCTCTGAAGGAATAAAAGCTGAATACTACTAACACTACCCAGCTGGCTTTCAGGCTATAATAACAAGAAGATGAGTTACAGCAGGAATATAGAAGGTTGCTTTCAGTTTGATACAGTTAAAATTTCTCACTGTGAACATCTAAGAACTATCTACTCTAAAAAAAATTCCCTTTTTCATCCTCCTAAAAATTAATACTAATAAGCTCTGTCACTTGTTATGAACCCAAATCATACAGCAGTAGAGAAATAAACTTTTGATAATGTTATAATAAAAAATCTAGTCTCTAGCCTAATGAGGAGAAAACAATCTGAGACAAATGAAAATCTACACTGGCATTTTGGAGAGAAACATTAGTAAATAGTAYAAAATCCATGCCCTTGCAGATAACAACTTCTAGGAAGACAAGACAACAATAAGTAATAATAAATGACTAAGYAGAACATTAAACAATGATTCAAAACAATACATTGGAATAGGGTAAATGAGGTTAGGAATACTGGGGATAGAGGGAAGTTTGTGATTTTTAAATAGGGTTATCAGGGGAAGGTTCATTGAAAGGGTGACATGTGAACAGCAGTTTGAGCGTAATAAGGGAATGAGGCATGAAGATAACTGGATAAAGTTTTTAAGCCGAAGTAACAGCTATGGCAGAAAGGGTTTGGGGGTGGATATGATGCCCAATGAGTTAAAGGAGAGCAATGGGGAAGGAGCAATGAAGGTCTAGTTGGAAACAGGCCAGAGGCACAACCTTGAAGATTWTTATAATAAGATGTGACTCAAATGAAGTGCCAATGGACAACTTTGAGCAGAAGAATAATGAAATCTGTCATTTTGCTGCTGTGCTTAGAGCAGACTATAGAGAAAGCAAAAGTAAAAAAGTAGGAAGACCCACTAGGATTGGTTCATTAATTTAAGCAGGAGGATCAATGTAGTAGTTCAGCGAAGAAGAGTAGATGGAATATGGATATAAATACATATATATTTTAAATGTTTATGTCAAAAAAGTCCTCAAAATTACAAAAAATTTAAAAAGCAAGAATATATCCCATATACCATTTACCTGGATGCATCCTATTTCCCTCATTACTTTTTTGCTTTTGAAGAACAAATTTATAGTTACTTGTTTCACAGAATGGCTCTTGATTTGAATGTCTGGTATTTTCTCAGAATTTTGGAAGAAAACTACTTAAATGACACTGTATCTTCCTTAATATATAACATCAGAAAACAGTCCCAAGCATGGTGTCAATCTGTGCCCACATCAGTGATAATAGCTTTGAACATATAAATAAGGTGAGTCCAACAGGTATGTCCAATTATAAAATTATCATTTGAAACTATATAAGATTTGTGAGGAAATATTTTAAGAGAGCATATATAACCTGTAACCCATCAAATTTTCACTCAAGAATCCACTGAGGATTCCAACCTGCATAAATTTATTACTATGATTATAAAAAGTTAATTTCTAACAACTAGTCCTTTTATAGGTAATGATTAGCATTCCCCTTCTTAAAAGGGGGAGGGCTTTGCTTTCTTTCTTTATATTTATTTATATTCGTTATGTACTCACAGATTCCTTTTTTACTTAATAGGTTATAATGCATTTCTATCATTTTAATGCTAATTATGTCTTGGATTTTAAGTTTCTTCACAATTCTGGTAGCAGGAGCTCCTTACTTTAAGGCACAAGGTGTTCCAGGCTCATCTTGGACTTTCTCTGCCCCAGCCCCAGAATTACACATTCTCTAAAGAGTCCCAATTCTGGGTAGTTAAGTATTATAGATGTTGAGTATGTAAGAAAGGAGACAAGGGTGACTTCATGAATTTTGGTTTAAACACCTGGACAGAGATGTCACCTACTATATGGGCAAGTATGCAAGTAGAGCAGGTTTGCATAATGGGGATGAAAAGGTCAAGCACTCAGTTTAGGGAAAGTTMATCTCAAATATTAGATAKACATTCAAATGAGATGTCAAATGARCATCTTAATATGAGAATGTGATGTCCAGGACAGAAGGCGGGGCTAACAATCCAGGAATTCCTATATCTATATATAAATATATAATGGAACTGAAGCCATGAAGTGGTATAAGGTCACAAGAGAGTGAGAAAATGTAGAGAAGAACGGAAGACCAAGTACTAGTCCACGCCTTCAGGAGACAGGGAACCATCAAACTAGAATGAAGAGGAATTTCTAGTGAGGAAGAAGGAAACCAAGTGAGCATGGGATTATAAAGGCAACAGAAAAAAAGGACAGAGGAGGATCAACTGAACTAAATGTTGCTAAATGGACAAGATGACTAAGAACTGCCCACTGGTTTTAGAAAGGCTTAGTATAAGAAAATAAGCTCCACAAGAGCAAGAACATTTATCTATTTTGTTCAACACCATGTCATGTGCTCAGAATAGGTCCTGGCTCAGTATAAGTACTCAATAAATATTTGTTGAATGAAAAGAAGACAWACAAGTGAGCAACAGGTATATGAAAACATGTTCAATCATTTGGGAAATGAAAATCAAAACCACAATTACTACCTCACACTTGCTAGGATGGTTATTATGAAAAAATAAAAATAAAAAACAACTGTTGGCAAAAAAAAAAAAAACTGTTGGCAAGGATGTGCAGAGACTGCAACTTTTGTACATGGCTGGCAGGAAAGCAATATGGTGCATTCACTATGGAAAACAGTTTGAAAGTTCGTCAAAAAATTAAAAACAAAACTACCATATGATCTAAGCATCTCACTTATAGGTATTTATCCAAAAGAAATTAAATCAGGACTTCAAGGAGATATTAGTACTCTCATGTTCACTGTAGCATTAYTCAGAATAGCCAAGATAYGGTGACAACAGATGAACGGGTAAAGAAAATGTGGCATATACACATAACAGAATACTAGTAAGCCTTAAAAATGGATACTCTGCAATATAGAATAACATAAATAAACATAACATTATTCAAAATAAAATAAGTCAGTGACAAATACTCTGTGATTTCACATAAATGAACTATTTATGATAGTTAATCAAAGTTAATCAAAACAGAATCAAAGAATAGCATGGTAGTTGCACAGGGCTAAGGAAATGCAGAGTTGCTAAACAGACAAAAAGTTTCAGTTAAGCAAGATGAGTAAGTTCCAGAGACCTTCTGGACAACACTGCACACCCAAAGACAATAATACTGCATTATATGCTTAAAATTTGTTATGAGAGGACAGATGTCATGTTAAGTGTTCTTAACACAATAATCTTTTGTTGTTGTTTAATGGATACATAATCATGGAGGACACTGATGATCTAAATAAGAACAATTTTGATAGAGTGATTGGGAGAAACCCTATTCAAAATGCATTTGAAAGAGGAAGACAGAAAAAAAGGATAGCGAGCAGCAGGAATGAAAGAAAAGGGGCTCTTGCTGGCTAGGGAAGTAGAGGTATAAGAAAAAACTTTTTTTAAAGACGGGAAAAACAAAAGTATGCTTTTGTAGGGAACAATTCAGCAGAGGGAAAAACTGATGTATAAGAAAGATTAGGGACCTCTTAGAACACTGTCCTTGAGAGGATGAACTCTAAGAAAGGAGCTATTTCATCTTTAGTATCAACAGGAAAGTTAAGAGTATACAGGTATGCCTCCTAGTAAGTGGGATATGGTAGAAGACTTAACTGAAGATAGGCCATTCAACAAAAGTAAGATGGGAGAAGAGGACTGAGGMTAGAAGAAGGCATAAGAAAGTATGTGAGTGAATGGACTAGGGGAATTGCCAGCCACTGTTATGAAGTAATCTTAAAAGATTACATAAATTCCCATCAACTTATCACAAAGCCAGGAAAACATCCTTACTCATTCTTTTTTTTTTTTAAATTGCCTTGATATGATATGCTATATGTTTGAACCCTTTAGTTTTACTAGGAAAATAATTTAAGTTCTTTATAATCTTTATACATTATTTGAGTGGTTCAAACTATCAGTATTTGCTTTATTTACCTACTTCAAAAAATCCATTATGACAACTAGATCACTTTTTTAACTGCATGAAAATAACTTAGTTATAACACAAGGTAGGACTTAGAGATGCAAGATGAAAGCATTTCTAACAAGTAGCCCAAAGGATTTAAAGTGGGTGAAGCTTATTCTTCACTTTGTTTAGCCTAATTACAAAAATGGTGGTACTGGTTTTCTGCTATTACGGGAGGGTATAAGTTTAAATGTTATTCATGTTATGCAAATCTATATTTTGCTTGCTTATACTACAACTGTGTGCTATCACTAATGATAATATTTGTAGAAATGAGCAATTCACATTTTCAAGTAGGTTTGATTAAATATATCTTCTAATTTCAATTTATTAGATAGCTTGAGATTTTTACCTCTAAAATGCAACTCTTTTTCTGGCTGGGTTTTTTCTTGTTGCTGTTGTTGTTTAAATTGTAAATGGACATGATACCTTTATTTATTTATTTTTATGTGGTACTGAGGATCGAACCCAGGGCTTCACATGTGAGGCGAGCGCTCTACCACTGGGCCACAACCTCAGCCCTCTGGTTGTGTCTTTTATGATCTGTTCCCCTGTACTCCCCACCCACAACTGCTCCATAAAATAGAAAGTCTTAGCGAGCTACTAGATTAAAAGAACAAAAGTAAAAGTAAAATTTTCATATAAATTTTAAGCATGTAGGTCTCAACTGGAGAATGAGAAGTTGAATCGTTTGTTAATGTTTCTCACAGAATCTGATTCTGTCCTTTCTCATCTATGGTTGAGAAAAACTATTTTAGAAAAAATTAGAATCTTCCTTTATATAACAATGAATGACTTCCAGAGCAATGATTATCAAAATAATTTAATGTGCATACAAATTATATAGGGATTCTGTTAAAATAAGAGTTTTGATTTAKTAAGTTAGGTGGGACCCAATGCATTTCTTAAAACCTCTAGGTGATGCCAGTGCTTTTGGTCTGTGGATGTTTGAGGAGCAAGGGACTACGGAACACTTCCATCTTCATTTGTGTGAGACTGTTTAATCTTTTGAGATAGAATGATAAAGAAAATTTTCAATTATTCATCAGTGTTTAATATACACTATAAATATAATCCAAGCAAACTCCCTTGTTTTCAAAACTAGCTCATCTTTGCTTACTGCCTAGAAGTGTATAAAAAGTGAATAAAAACCAACACAATAGCAAACTGTCCAGAAACAGTAAATTTCAAATATCTGTATATCTGTTMGGAATTATCTACACCATTTGCTTCCTTGTACCAAACAAGAAAATGGCAAGCCAAATATCAATATATGCTTCTTTATAATAAAAATTCAAGATTTAAGTGTTATCTCTTCTTGAATAGAATAATTACTTCAAAATATATATATATATATATTTATTTTATGGTTCTGGAGATTGAACCCAGGGCCTTGCGCACGTGAGGCAAGCATGCTACCAACTGAGCTATATCCCCAGCCCACAATAAATTTTTTTTTAAATGACAAAATAAAGCATACTTCACTTCAAGAGTTCTTATATTTTTTCCTCAAATTTTTACTGAATTGTTTGACATTGAATTCTTGGGACTAATAGCAATGTTTCTGAACTGGATTTATATTCTGCTTCTTTTCCAAAGTTAATAATGGGTAATTGTAATTTTACCTGTATTTGTTTAAATCAATAAGGAAAAATTATAGARGATATTCTGAAAATAATTACATGACTTTACCTGTTCCTGGATGCTTAGAAATTATAGCTTTAGCCAATATTGTGCCCAACAGTTTTGAAACTGAAATCCGCACATCGTAATTGGAACCTTCAAAGGACTTAAAACATAGTGTGGCAACACTGTCCAGGTCAGTACTCCACATAAAGATGGCCTCATTTTGAAGTTCAAGAAGACACTACTCAATTGGACAAACAAATTAATGAAAAACAAAATATAAATGTCAGGCTCAGATCTATGTAAGTTGTGGAAAATATAAGAGTCTTAACAAAATATACACACACATGAATTCAAAGTATCTATATGATTGCAGAAATAATGAACTTATTAAAAGTTATAAAGGTTATATTATATAAAGCCATTTAAAAAATGGGAGAAGCACATCTAACTCAGCAGGCCATGTAAAATGCCTTTATTGGCTATGAGAAATTGGGAGAATAATTCAAAAAAAAATCAACTTCAATGTACTAWCTAATCAACTATGTTAATAAAGCATGATTAAAAACAAAATAAAAATCACTTTGAACATAATGACATAAACCTTACATAAAAATTTTAGTTTATACACATATGGARAGGAAGCATGCTAAGGTAAGATGCATATTTTGTAAGTGGAAACTTAAATCTCCCACACACTGACAATGTATTATGAACTACTTGCTTGGAACAGTGCCTGGCACATAATAAACAGTCAAGAAATAGTAGCTGCTTATATTATTGATGTTTTACCAAATGCCCAAAATGATTTTTATATCCCCAGAAGTTAAAGGCACTGCAGGGAGATAAAGCTTGAGAAATTATGAAACTTTCTGGGCCTTAGTTTCCTCATTTGTTAAAATTAGAATCCTAGCTGATTACCAACGTTGCAGCTTTAAGATAATGTAGCTGATACTAGTAGTTTTTTCACAGAGATATAATCAGTTTTAATTTTCTTAATGTAAGTTTTAGGAAGTTTACTACTAAACCATTTTACCTTTGCAGCAGCACAACGAACAGCCATGGATCTATCTGTTAAGCAGGATCTAGCAGCTTTATAAACATCCCTGTGGCATGGTGTAGCAGCAGCACCAAGTCCATTCAATATATTTTGTAGGCTCAGCATAATTTCATAGCGACCTTGAGACTACCAACAAGAAAAAACTTGAATAAGAAAAGAAATTCCACCATAAAGAATAGCATTAAGCACTGATGTTTATCTCATCATATGAGAAAAACACTCAGTTTTTTTGTATATACTAACCAATCCATCCTGACATCAAGAAACGTGAACAGTTCTATTTACTATTTGAAAAGTATTATTTGTACATATTACATTTCAACACAATACTATTCACTGGGTTACTGTGAAGATTAAATGGAACTATATGAAAAGTGCCTAGCATAAAGCTTGCATGTCATTAARCATTTAATAAATAGTGGCTATAAGATGAGGTAACACAATAAATATACAGGCTTTGCTACCCATTGGCTATAAAAYCTTGGGTAAATTTGTTTCTTTACCTGTAAAACAGAGGTAACAGTTATCTGACTCATAGGCTGTTATAATGAGCAAATGAGTACATGTAAAGTACTTAGAAYAATGTGGACATAAAGTAAAATCRCAACAGATGTGGCAGYTATTCATGTTCTGTTATTAATTACAGACTGGGATAGTTTATCTCAGAAGTTAGAATTAAAAAGACCTGAGTTTCAGTAGGCCATGGTGGCAAATGCCTCTAATCCCMGTAGTTTGGGAGGCTCAGACAAGAGGATTGCAAGTTCAAAGCCAGCTTGAGCAAAAGTGAAGCATTGAGCAACTCATTGAGACCTGGTCTCCAAATAAAATACACAATAGGGCAGGGATGTGGCTCAGTGATTGAGTGTCCYTGAGTTCAATCCCTGGTACCTGCCCCCCTCCTCCAAAAAAAGACCCATTTTCCATCTTATCTTTAACTCTCAGTAGCTCTGTGACCTTTTTCTCATCTATAAAATGAGGGTAAGATGAACCTCAGAGAGCCAGTAGGAGACATACATAAGCTCCTGTGGATAAACATTCATCACAGTGCCTGGCACATGATAAACAGTCAAGAAATAGTAGCTGCTTATATTGTTGATGTTTTACCAAATGCCCAAAATGATTTTTATATCCCCRAAGGATATCTCCCTATCACYGTAGGGAGATAAAGCTGGAGGAAGACAAAGATTAGTACCAAGCATCATTTTCATAGTAAAGCTATTAGCTTTATTTAAAAAAGCACAATAGTCATAGGTAGACAAAATAAAATGGGATCTAGTGAGAAACCTCTGAATTTTCCTTTTATACCAATCTCAAATGTTGGGTATCATGCATGAAAATGGGTGAAAGGTAGGAATTCCTTTTGATATTGCTGAACTGTTGTGGTACCTGACTAACCAACACRTAAAGGTAAAAAATAAGAAAGTGATAATAAATTTACAAATAATTTAAAATTTTTTGATGCCTATAGAACAATCTATTAACCATAAGGCCTAAAACGTAGAATAGCTTAACCAATGGAAATAAGAGGAGGAAAAAAACTTTAAAATAATTTTTATTTGTTCATATATATATATATATATATATATATATATAAAACAGTATATTTTGATGTATTATACACACATGGAATAAACATTCTAAGCAGAATCTCATTCTTGTGGTTGTACATGACATGGAGTTACACTGGTTATGTATATATATAAGGACAGGAAAGTTATGTCCAATTCATTCTACTATCTGTCCTAGTCCCATCCCCCCTTTCCCTTCAACCCCCTTTGTCTAATCCAACRAWCTTCTATTCTTTCCCTCCCTACCTTCCCTTGTTGTGGGTTAGCATCCACAATCAAGGAGAACATTCTGTCTTTGTTTTTTTGGGCTGGCTTACTTTGCTTAGCATGATATTTTCCAGTTCCATCCATTTACTGGCCAATGCCATAATTTCATTCTTCTTTATGGCCAAGTACTATTCCATTGTGTATATATGCCACATTTTTTTTTATCCATTCATCTGTTGACAGGAACCTTGGTTGGTTCCTTAGCTTGGCTATTATGAATTGAGTTGCTATAAATATTGATGTGGGTGTATCACTGTAGTATGCTGATTTTAAATCTTTGGGGTATAAACTGAGGAGTGGGATAACTGGGTTAAATGGTGGTTCCATTCCAAGTTCTCGCAGGAATCTCCATACTGCTTTCCAGAATGGTTGCACTAATTTGTAGTCTCAACAGCAATGTATGAGCGAACCTTTTCCACCACATCCTCACCAACATTTATTATTACTTGAATTATTTTTTTTTTCTGGGAGGGTAGCAGGGGTTGAATTCAGGGACACTCAACCACTGAGCCACATCCCCAGTCCTATCTTGTATTTTTATTTAGAGACAGGATCCCACTGAGTTGCTTAGTGCCTTGSTAAGGCTGGCTTTGAACTTGTGATCCTCCTGCCTCAGCCTCCTGAGYCACTGGGATTATAGGCATATGCCACCACACCCCATGTTACTTGTATTCTTGATGATTGCCATTCTGACTGGAGTGAGATGGAATCTCAGTGTAGTTTTAATTTGCATTTTTCTAATTGCTAGAGATGTTGAACATTTTTTTTAATATATTTTTTGATTCTTTGTATTTCTTCTTCTGTGAAGTTCTTCTGTTCAGTTCCTTTGCCCATTGATTGATTGGGTTACTTCATTTTATTTTAATTTTTGGTGTTAAGTTTTCTGAATTCTTTCTATATTCTGGAGATTAATGCTCTATCTGAGGTGCAGGTAGCAAAGATCTTCTCCCATTCTGTAGGCTCTCTCTTTATGTTCTTGATTATTTCTTTTGCTATGAAGAAGCTTTTTAGTTTGATACKTCCCATTTATTGATTCTTGATTTTAATTMTTGTGCTTTAGAAGTTGTATTGAGGAATACGGTTCCTAAGCCAACATAGTGAAGAGTTGGCCTACTTTTTCTTGCAGTACATGCAGGTCTCTGTTCCAATGCCTAGGTTCTTGATTCACTTTGAGTTGGGTTTTGCGTAGGGTGAGAGAGAGGGGTTTGTTCTACTACATATGGATGTCYAGTGGGAAACAAAACTTAAAATGGCTATATTCTAGTAAATGAAATCTTTTACTGACATCCACTTTTTTAATAAAATCAAACTACGTATGTTAAAAATTATCTTCTCCTCAATCATCATCTTTGATCTTTCAGGAAACTATTTACTGAGAAGTGATATGTTTAACAGATTTCTTCAGCAGTAGTGCTAGAGACTTCAGTTCTTAAAAAAGTCATGAATCAGCTCTGCCCTCTTCCTCTCCTCCTCTCTGCCCTCTTCCTCTTTTTTCTCTCCACTCTCTGCTCTTTCTCTTTGTCTCTGCCCTCCTCCTCTTCTCTCTGCCTCTTCTTTTCTTCCCCTTTGGGCAGCCCCCCAATTAAATCTCTTGGTTGAACCTCCGTCTCAGGGACTTACTAAATTGCTGAGGCTGGCCCTAAATTGCAATCCTCCTGCCT